ACCTAACCTAAACCTAACCTAACCTAAACCTAACCTAACCTAACCTAAACCTAACCCTAAACTAACCTAACCTAACCTAACCTAACCTAACCTAACCTAACCTAACCTAACAAACCTAAACCCTAACCTAACCTAACCTAACCTAAACTAACCTAGACCTAACCTAACCTAACCTAACCTAACCTAACCTAACCTAACCTAACCTAACCTAACCTAACCTAACCTAACCTACCTAACCCTAAACCTAACTAACCTAACCTAACCTAAACCTAACCTAACCTAACCTAACCCTAACCTAACCCAACCTAACCTAACCTAACCTAACCTAACCTAACCTACCTAACTAACCTACTAACCTACCTAACCTAACCTACCTAACAAACCTTAACCTAACCTAACCTAAACCTAACCTAACCTTAACCTTAACCATAACCTAACCTAAAACCTAACCTAACCTAAACCTAACCTACCTAACCTAACCTAACCTAACCTAACCTAACCTAACCTAACCTAACCAACCTAACCCAACCTAACCTAACCTAACCTAACCTAACCTAACCTAACCTAACCTAACCCCTAACCTAACCTAACCTAACCTAACCTAACCAAACCTAACCTAACCTAACCTAACCTAACCTAACCTAACCTAACCTAACCTTAACCTAACCTAACCTAACAAGCCCCAACCTAACCTAACCTATAACCTAACCTAACCTAACCTAACCTAACCTAACCTAAACCTAACCTAACCTAAACCTAACCTAACCTAACCAACCTACCTAACCTAGCCTAACCTAACCTAACCTTAACGCTAACCTAACCTAACCAAACCTAACCTAACCAAACCTAAACCTAACCTAACCTAACACCTTAACCTAACCTAACCTAACCTAACCTAACCTACACCTAACCTAACCTAACCTAACCTAACCCAACACCTAACCTAAACCTAACCTAAGCCTAACCTAACCTAAACCTTAACCTAACCTAACCAAACCTAACCTAACCTAACCTAACCTAAACCAAACCCAACCTAACCTTAACCTAACCTAAACCTAACCTAACCTACCTTAAACCTAACCTAATCCCCTAACCTAACCTAAACCTAACCTAACCCAACCCAACCTAACCTAACCTAAACCCTAAACCTAACCAAACCTAACCTTAACCTAACCTAAACCGTAACCTAACCCAACCTAAAACCTAACCTAACCTAAACCTAACCTAACCTAAAACCTAAACCTAACCCAACCTATACCTAACCTAAACCAACCTACCAACCTAACTAACCTAACCTAACCATAACCTAACCTAACAAAACCTAACCTAACCTAACCTAACCTTAACCTAACTTAAATCTAACCTAAACCCAGCAAAGCAGAACCACAGACAAAGAGAGAACCACCAAAAAAGAGAGAGAGAGAGAGAGAGAGAGAGAGAGAGAGCAAGAGAAGAGAGAGGAGAGATGAAGAGAGAGAGAGAGAGAGAAAAGGAGAGAAAAGAGAGAGAGATGGAGATATATAATAGAGAGAGAGGGGGGGGAGGAGGGGAGAAGAGAGAACCAGACAGAGGGAGGAGAAACCAAAAAGAACCAGAGAAAGAGAGAACCAGAGAGAGAGAGAGAGAAAGAAGCAAAAGGAAACCAGATAAAGAGAGAGAACCCGAGGACTACAGAGAGAGAGAGAGAGAGGAGAGAGATAGAGAGAGAGAGAGAAGAGAAGAGAGAGAGAGAGGGAGAGAGAGAGAGAGAGAGAGAGAGAGAGAAAGGAAGAGAAAAGAGAGAGAGATGGAAATATATATATTTTATTAGAGAGAAGAGGGGGAGGGAGGGAGGGAGAGAGAGAGAACCAGACAGAGGGAGAGAGAAACAAAAAGAACCAGAGAGAGGAGAGAAGACCCAGAGAGAGAGAGAGAGAAAGAAAGCAAAAGGAAAAACCAGATAAAGAGAGAGAACCCGAGGACTACAGAGAGAGAGAGAGAGAGAGAGAGAGAGAGAGAGAGAGAGAGAGAGAGAGAGAGAGAGAGAGAGAGAGAGAGAGAGAGAGAGAGAGAGAGAGAGAGAGAGAAAGGAGAGAAAGAGAGAGAGATGGAGATGTATTATATAGAGAGAGAGGAGGGGGGGGAGGGAGGGAGAGAGAGAGAACCAGACAGAGGGAGAGAACCCAAAAAGAACCAGAGAAAGAGAGAACCAAGAGAAGAGAGAGAGAGAAAGAAGCAAAAGGAAACCAGATATAAGAGAGAAGAACCGAGGACTACAGAAGAGAGAGAGAGAGAGAAGAGAGTGAGAGAGAGAGAGAGAGAGAGAGAGAGAGAGAGAGAGAGAGAGAGAGAAGAGAGAGAGAGAGAGAGAGAGAACCAGAGAGAACCAGACAGAGAGAGAGAACCAAAGAAAACCAGAGAAAGAGAGAGAGAACCAAAGAAAACCAGAGAGAGAGAGAGAGAGAGCCAAAAAGAACCAGAGGAAGAGAGAGAGAGCCAAAGAGCCACTTGTCAGCTCGAC